ATCCATCAAAAGCATATATTGCCAGTGCAGGGGCTGATGCCCTGGCCAAAGTGTTTGTGTGAATCGACAGAAGCTCACATTCTAACAGCAGACTTGCGTGGACAGAAAGAGGGTCTGCATCACTGCCATCAGAAAGCTTCCTGATATGACACTACATGTGATCTGCCTGGTGAAGGCTATTGAGGACAGGCATAAATTGGTAGAAATCACATCTTAATGTCAGGCTCATTAATTTAATTGTAATTACTGTATTTTGTGGGACAAAAAAAAGGACTCCAGTATTTGTGGCCTGTACTGGATATGAACTGAGCGTATGTCTGTTTTTTAGGTATCTTTAAGCCAATGTGGAGTCTGATCTTACAAAAAGACTTTTATTTTGGACTCTGTGTGCTGCCTTAGGGTTAGGAATGTGGTGCTCTTGTTGGGGGGAAGTGAGCTCCAAGAGTAGCTTTTTTTCATCTCTTAGTGATCTTCTGTTTATCAGTTGAATGCCACAGATTCCCTTTTAAACTTATTTTGCTTTAAAAAAAAAAAAAGAAAATTTAACTTAAAATATTTTAGCATTAGTTGCACAAAATGTTTGAATAAAATTCTAGTTTTTATAAGTCTTTTTATATATTTAGCCTGTCACAACAGTGCTCAAGATTGTATTGAAGTTTTTCTGCATTATACAACCCTAAAACACAGAGATCTCACTGACCCGCTGCCGTGTAACCACACTCTTTCCTTCTTTTGCCTAATACAGCTCAGCTAAGTCCTTCCATAAGATGCTAAATCACCTTCATCATCACATAATTGTCTTCATAAACTGAGGACTATTAAGTGTATTAAAATGAAACAGTGGGGTTTAGTACTCCAAATGAACTCTTAAAAAGAAAAAAAACTAATCTTGGCATCCTATCACTATGTGATATTTTGTACATCTTACTGTATTTACAAGTTTATTTATCAAGGATTATCCATCTTGCTAATAGCCTATTATTTATTTCACTTTTTGTTGGTCTTTATATCCTTTTATTAATGTGCTAAAGGAACCTGTATATCTATTTTGGAACACTTTGAATAGTCTAAAATAGACTAAAAATGGAATATTTTATAGTTTGAGTTACAAACCAAGGTGATTCCCCCCAGATACATATCTTGGTTTACCATGATTCCAAACAAAACTATCTTGTTTAAAAATATTTGGAGTAAAATTTTATTTGCATTACAAATAGGATACAAAAATAGCTGAATCAGGATACAGAAATCTGCTGTGTTTGGACTAGTTATCCCTGTTTTATTTTTTCAGATGTGCTTAATTTTATGGTGTAACTAAAGATTTTGTTTGTGTAATGCATGATTAAGACAATAAAGTATTTTTTCTAGTCTTCCAAAAAACTTTTCTGATCAGTTTGCGAGTTTTGATGAGTTTTGTAAGGTTTTTGTTTTACAAACTATGAATCAGCAAATTTTTAAGATTGTACCACATAGCAAACATACAGCTGTTGAAAAATAATGTATATAAAATGCATATAATAAATATTAAATTGTGTACCTGTAAGTTACTGTTGGCTACATTATTTTATGTTGAATAATAATGTGCAATACTTTACTCTCCATCATTAAACTAGGAAATGGAGATGATTTCTCAGTGAGTCCTTCATTTTTATGCTGTTCTTTTTAACTTTGTACTGCTTATTGACATTCTAATAAGATTAGAACAGTTAACACTATTCAGAATGCCTTTCTAAGTATTTCACCCCATTTGGGGATAAGAAAAATCTTCTGTTGAAATAAATTAGATAATTCAAAATAACCAAAAAATGCAGAGGTGCAGTTTTAAATCATTTCCTTAGACGTCTTATTACTTTATTAAATCTGGATTTTAGTTAATCGTGTTGTCATTCCTATAGTCATAATGTTTCCACAAAAATGTTCACCAGAGAATAAACTGCATTTTTCATTAAAAGTTGTCCTTATAAATAATATTAAGTATTAACATTTTCAAACTTTTTCCTTCAACAAGGTAATATCCTTTTTCTTTGAAGGAAATTGCAGATGAAATTAGAAGGTAACATTAGAAAACTTGAGTGGCAAAGTTTTATTTCAATGCCTACTGCAAAAAAAAATTACATTGAGAAATTTTATCTACCATAAAAATCTAAGTGGCAGTTTTAGTTATTGCTGGTGAAATAGTAACTTTTCAGAAATTTTCCTAAAATACTAGTTTTTCTGGTTTTCTGAAGATTCAACTTAAACGGGCACTTTTCTCCTCCTCCTCTTTTTTTTTTTTTGAAATAATTTAAGAACAAGCTTTTTCCAAAGCTAGTATTGTTTCTGGCAGCTATTCCAAACCAATGGGTTACTGTTTAACTGAAATGTGATTATCATCATTACAATGCATAACCTCTTTTGGAATGTATTAAAACTGAAATGAATAAAAATTAGTATATATGTTTATTTTTCTCTTATCTAGTTTGTATTTTTCTCTACAGTATTAAACATTTGGAAGAGCCTAATGGATGCAGAAAGAATATCTTACTTTCATTTTATTTACGTGCTTCCATTTGTGACTTCTGGGAATTATGTAGATTCACTGACTATAAGTGGTGCTTTATACATAAAGTTTAAGAATATTTTTATATACAAACTTCAATATGTTGACTTTTTCAATATTTAATCATTCTGCCTTCATATTTTAGTTATTCATGTACTTATATTTCAAATTTAAGTTATCCACTGAAGACCAACATCTCATTTAATGCATAAAGTTGTAAATGGGCTGGCATATTTGAAATTTAGGCATACCTGCTAAAGTTGGATTATAATACATCTTTTTAAAAATTCTCTTGACTCTCTGCTTTTCAGTTGTTAACCCTTTATCTTGATTGTTTACTTATAAAAAATAATTGATAGTAACTTAATAAAGTGCTCATTTCTGTTCTCTTGCTGATCTTTAAGTAGCTTCCCTGATTACCTCAGATGCCTCGAAACTGTGTCCTTTCTAAAATTAAAGAAAAAGCATTTTTAAAAGGGCTAAAGACTAGAGGTTCAGTTTTCATTTTTTTAAGCAGTGATACTCTCAGCTGAGAATTTGTGGTCTGTTTATTAGGGAAAAATCATGTTAAGCTCATTTTTGTTTAATTTTATGAGAACTCTTGTTATAGGAATGGATCATATTTTTAAGCTTTTTATAAAGGGGGGTGCTTTATTGACTTCCCATAACTCCATTCTGTCAAATTTTTATGTAGTGTCAAAGGCAATTTCAGTTTTGCCTCTCTGATACACAATCCTTTCATTCCCTTTACACAAGCCACAAAATTTTTAGAAGATTTACTGGAGTATATATATTATTCCACCCAGTTAACACCTTTTTCAGGCCAGCTGGCTGTAAACCATTTCAGAGAGGATCAGCGTGTGTGTAAAGGGAGATAGGGCGTGTAAGTGGATGAGGGACAGGACCGGTCCTGTCTTTAGAGAAGACAAGGCGGATGGGATGACAGGGCACCTCTGAGGGGAGAGTTGTTAGTGAGGGTGATAAGTAAAGGAGTTCGGATTGCTTTTCTTAGGAACCTGCTTCACAAGTGTGAGTAAAAATGTTAATTACAAAACATTTCTGTTGAACCAAGTAACCAAAAGCATCTCATACTGTTTAACCTGGTACTGGCTGTATGTAATGCCTAGCACAGTAGGCACTCAAATTTTATTGAATGAAAGAGAAAATAAACATAGTCTTATTGCATGATTTTAAGAAAAAATTAGATTGGTGTTTTCACATGAATTAGTGAATGTAGAATTTTTACCATGTCCTAGGGAGAGACACTTGGAATAATACAAGTAAGGCAGCTTAGAATAATAGTCGTTAGCAGTTTTATTGCTTAAATACTCAAACTACAATATTTTTTCCTGCAGTTCCGCTATTTGAAATACGTGCTTTTCTTTAAAGCTAAATGTTGTGTTAAGTGAAAATTTACCACCTTAACCTTTTTTCAGTACATGGATTACTATTTTAGAGTACAAGACAAATATATCTACACACATATAAAATTGATATAGAAAAATACCAGGCAATCCTGCTATCTTGTTCAGTGTGGTATTTCAGTTCTAAGTTACTATGAAAATATACTACAAAAGCTTGATACCAAATTCCCTTCCATTTCTTCTGTGACTGATTATAACTTTTTAGTACATTAAGTAACAACTATTACTGATTGGTTTTAAGACAACATCTACTTGGGTCAAAATATTTATATTTGAACTAAGTTAAAGAGCTGCTTTCTATTTAAGTTTCTCTTTCATTTTCCTTATATAATATAGAATGATTAGAGAAGGAATGTTCCTTTTGGTCTAAGTATCAGATTCTTTTATTGAGCTATGGAATTTGCATAAATATCTATACATTTAATATTCATGTTAGAACTCGTAAGATTTTAATCCACGATATTTCCTCTTTCCTGAGTTTTTAAGGATCATGATTATGAAGCCTCAGCAGAGTGTTTTGAACAATTAGGTCTAAATTGTAATTAGATGGTAGTAGCTTTAAATGAATGGTTATTTGCTTAAAACAGTTGCTGGCATCTTTAACAGTATTATATCTGATCCTGGTATGCTATATAGTATTTCAGTATTACGAGAATATAACTTATACATTATATCCCCTTGCACTTTTTCTTTCACTTGTCATAATGTGACCATTATTGCTGGGATTCTAAGAAATCTCTACAAATTCCTCTAATGACATCGGAAACAATTGGTTCTAATCCTGTGAACTCTCTTGTGAAGAAAGCATGTGACTCCTTTGGTTTAGAGGCCATATCTTTCAGGTCATCCAGAGGTGCCCAAGCCACACCAACAGAGAAGATGGTGATACCTACAATGGAAACATTAAGTGAATTAAAACGAAGTTCCAGCTTATATATAAAATTACGTGCAAAGATTTTTCATATATTAGCACACAGCTGAAGAGAAAACTGGTAACGTCTGAAGAACTAAATCCCCTGTACCAAATTGTTAGGTAGGTTTTAACAGGCATTGTGATGACAATGGCTCAACAGTTTGGTCAAAACCAGAAGCTTTGCTATTAGTGTAATTTACCACATTAACAGCTAAATCATATGATCACTTACATAGAAAAAAATTTGATGTTTCAATATCCATCATGATAGAACACAGTAAGCTAGAAATAGAAGGAAACTTTCTTAGCCTGACAAAAATGCCTAAATATATATATATATCAATCCAAACCCTACAGCAAACATAGTGAAATGGTAAAAACTTCCCCTCTGAGGCTGGCATGAGAAAGGACTGCCTGCTGTCATCACTTCAATTAGTCGTTCTGGAGTCACAGCAAGGACAACAGGGCAAGAAAGAAGGGCATAACAAGATAGGATACGTAAATGGTCGGAGTTTTCTAAGGCTGCATTGTTGGGGGGGGGGAATGGTGACTAGTCCTCTGTGAATAATGCCAAGTTTCTTCCATTTCAATTTTTATATTTTTACATTGGCAACACCAGTAGTCAGAAATCGTCAGTGTTTAATCCCAAAGCAAAAATCTCCTGGTGATGAAAACAGCCAAGGAGAAATGTCTGTGAAGCTAGAATTTCTTCCAGTCACACAAGGCATTCCATCTGCATTCCCTTGAGCTACTAGAAGATTTTCCCTCCAACTGTACATTTGGTTAGGTGATGTGACGTTAGTTTGATTCACCTCATTCCCGATTGTGGAAGTGGTGTAGCAGAGTCTTAGTGTAGACTACCATCTCTCTCATGGGTGAAGTTCCCCATAAAATTTTGAGAGTTTCTGAAAGAGCCCCTCCTATCCAAGGATTCTAGTGGTATACAGTGCTCAGAGTTGTCAATACTTAAGATATAAACCCGTTTATTTGCAAATAAGCAGGTTTATGATGGAAAAGCTACTTGAAAAGCTACTTGAAACGATTTCTGATTTATCACCACCAGCCAATCCTCTCTCGCTGGCAAGAGAGAAAAGGTCAAAAATTTTCCTCCCTCCTGTTTTTCTCTCTTTTCATTCTGCATTCAAGCTCAGATTATTTAGCTCAGGCCCAGTATATAATTACAGGTTTTTTTTTTTTTTTTTTTTTAAACTTGTGGTCTATCCCTGAAAGCCTACCCTATTTTCTGGCTTTTGTTAACTTTCACTTCATTATCACTAAAAGATAACTTTCATGAAAATAGTCTAGCCCAGCCTCCTAAAAGTCAATTGACCACATCGGGGAAAATGTATCTGAATTAACCTGGTTCACTTTATTTAGCCTGAAGCCAATCCTGTTAACCAGAAATTAGTTCAGTAAGCTGCACTTTTAAGGAGTATGATAGCGAACAGGTGTTCAACATAGGCTAGTAGCTGACGTATAAAATAAACCAGTGTATAGCTTAAATGGCATGTATCAGCTCTCTGTCCTACTTTATAAAAACTGCTCCATCAATATCTATAAAAGTACATAAGTGCATTAGCAGAGGTGCTAATTGTACAAAAGGGAAAAGGTTAAGTCATTAGGAATTAAATAGGGAAAAGTGCAGAAGAGTGTAGAAAAATGCAAGGACGCTAATTCCGCGCCCCCCCCCCCCCAAGTTAGCATTTTTGTTTCTTAAATATTATTGGACTCCAGTCACTCAGTTTTATCCCAGGAAAGGGAACCTCAGCTTTATCTTGGCCTATTTGATCTCAGCACGTTATGTTAATGTCTTCAGAAACTAGAGGCCTTTGCCAAAAGAAATATTAAGGTTGGGATAAGGGAGAAAAAAACCCTTTTCATATCTTTTAATAACATCAGAGTGTGTGTTCATTATCTCAAGAAAGACACCAGAAAGGAAGTTTAGATGGGATGGTATTAAAGTCTTTATTGGTGACCTTAGCATCTAGAAAACTCATGCCAGACTGAAAACTACTAAAAAAGAGTTAGGATAAATTATCAAATAGATTCATAATACGTTGTTATAAAGGGGGATATATTCCAAGTTTGAGCCAAATGTGAGGACTTGTAACGTATTTCCTTGATGTATGACATGGTTCTCATGGCAGTTCCAAGATAGTGTGGTTAGGCGTGGACTCAGCCAGACTGCCTGGGTTTGAATATTGGCCTCAACACGAGCTTGGTGATTTTGAGGAAGTTTCTTATCTGTAGAATGAGATTAATGGGGCTGCTTTGACAATTAAATCAGTTAATATTGGGTAAAGCTCTTAGAACAATGAGTGCTACACTGTAGGTGTTTGTTCAATAAAATAAATGCTTAAGTTTATATTTGCTCCTAAAATTCACTGAACCCCTCCCTTGGTTCCCTTCCCAGTCAAAGGACAAGGACCTTACCTGCATCATGTGCAGCAGCTGCAGGACCTCGAACGTCATCGTAGGACTGCCCGTCTGTGACAATCACCAGGAAGTTCTTGTTGGGGCTATCCCTCATGGGACCAAACACGTTTCTAACAGTAAAGGAAATGGCGTCACCAGTAGCCGTTCCGCCACTCATGTAGCGGATGTTTCTGATAACGGCCAGGACATTCTCTTTGGTGCTATAGTCAGTGAAACTGAACTCTGTGCGCTGATCATAGGTGAACTGTACAGCAGCTATCTTGGCACCAATGTCCGAAATTTCAAAAGTCTTGGCTATGTTGGAAACAAATTCAAGCATGAGGCGGAAATTGCTGTCTCCAACACTGCTGGAGCCGTCAATTAGAAAGGCGATGTTCACCGAGTTATAACAGGTCTTGCTGCACATCATTTGCTCGTGAGCGCAGAGCTTCTGCACCAGAGGCTTTACATATTTCGTGGTGCCAAACCAGTTGGGCATGTGGTAAGAGAAGAAGCCATTATTCCGACAGACAGCCTAACGGAGGAGACATAAAAGAGATCCAAAGTTGCTTCTTCTTAAAAATTATGAGAACATTACATCTTGAATGTTTAAAGTTAATCCAGGTATGGGCCAGTCAGCACTAGGCCTCGAGGTCCAAAACTGAATGAGTACCATAACAGAAGACACCCTTCACCTCCTTACCTTGTCAACAAATGCAACATCCTGAACCATCCCCAGTTCTTCAGGGATAGGCTTCGCCACGGAAACTATAAATACATTGACGCCAAACTCTCTGGCCACAATGCCTGCTTCCTCGATATCATCAGAAGGCCAGCCATCAATAAATACCACCACCACTTTGGGGATCCCTTTTCTCACTCCAGCGTCTGCTGTGAAAAATTTCTGGGCAGTGTGCTTCAAGGCTTTTCCTAGGTTCGAAAAAGAAGCAAAGTGGAACAGCCCCCCTTCTCAAATGACATTTCTATTTCCCTGTACCAACTTGATGCCACCAAGTTTAAGAACTCAGTTCTATAACAGATGCATCAGATAGGAAAGTTTAATTATCCATCAGGCCTATTTTTTGTCTTTGCCGCCCACAATACCTCCCCGCTCACCTCTCAGAAGCCTCACATTTCTTTTCCTTAGATCAGTCACCAGTGAGAAACACAAAACTGACTCCCACTCCTATACTTGTGCTCTCTGTCTAGCCCCTTAGTGACTGACTACTACCTCTAGGGACTTCTTGTCTCCTTTCAGAAGGTCCACAGTGCTACTCTCGTTCTTTCCGCCGCATCTGCATTCATTAGATAAGTCTGTTGATCTTTGCTCCTTTTTAACATTCTAAACAGGTACTTCTCTAAAGTGATATCTACCCTATCCAAAATAAGGATTATAAATCACAATGCTTTATGTTTTGTAAAAATAAGCAATATCAATTAACCCTTTGCTATATTTTCCATTATAAGTTGAACATCTCAGATGATCAAGTGCAGACCTAGCTAAAAGTTCAGTGCCAGGAGGAGGAGTGTCCCATCAGCTTATAAAATAGCATAATATTGTTTCACGTGTCTGGTCATTCATAAGGCTCTCCTGTGTTACCTCCCAGGTGCCACAGTCTGCTTACCTGTGTTGGAGTTACCCCCTCTGAAACCGACTTCCTTTATGGCAAACAAAACATCTTTGGCTGATGTAAAGTTTTTCAAGTAAAATTCTATTTTTGGATGTTCACTAAGTGGAAAAATGAAAAAATGTTATCCAGGGAGAATTGGACAGGTAAAAACAAACAAGCAACATAATATACCTTAAAAAAAAGTCTTGAAATTGGACCGTGCCCAAGTTTCTCTCCTATTCCCACAGTACACAGTCAACTAAGGCATGGCATCCTTACTTGAATTTTTTGGGCTCTTTCAGAAATGTAACAAAAAACAATTGCTACCTTGAGCGTTTGTTACATTCTGGGTAATATGCTAAATACATATTCCGTGTATAATTTCCTTTCATCGTAACTCTACAAGGTAGAAATTATTATCCCTATTATATAAATGAAGAAACTGAGGCTCAGAGCATTTAGGCAATTTGCCCAACAAAACATGGTCACATTTTAGATTCAGGTTTGTCTGGCTCCAAAGTCTACGCCTGAACTAGATGAAGCACCTGAAACCAGGCTTGGCTCAGGGCCCCAGGCTTATGGGAAGTCTGCAGAGTTGGGCACCTGAAAGCTGGAAGGCAGCTGGGCGTGAGGCTAGGTCTGCTCTAGAGGGGACCCTGGCAGCACTGAACATTCTGGGTCTATTAACCCAGGTTTCTGAAGAGGCAATTTCCATGACTCTAAGGCCAACATTTTAAAAATGAGAAAGTTATAAGGAAACGAATTATAAAGTATTATAATATTGAATTTTTCTTATACTGACATTTGCCAGTCTTAAAATTATGTATATTGCAAGAGATTTGGGATTTTCCACATTTAGTAGTAAAAGAATTTCGGCTCACTTTTATAACTACACCGTGTTCATTAGACATCATGCTGAGTAAAAACAGTTAAAGCACAATTTGTTGTGTTACGTTTTTAGATAAGTCAATATTTCCTCAGTGCAAAATTTTAAGATCTTAGCATTATCAATTGCCATTAAGTCCAGATTTTTGAGGGACAAATATGGCACTGACTGTATTTCTGCATACCTGGTGTATGATTTCCATATACCTGGTGGAATGCAGGGTCACAGAATCAGATTTCATAGGGCGATAGTCTTTTCATTTTTATGGTCATTTTTCAACTATCCAAATTATGATTCATGAGATTTAGTCTTATTTTTGTATCCTTAATGACATATTGTTATTCTGCTTAAATATAAACACTTGATATACTTTATCTATTATAATGTTCTTCCTAAAATAGAAAACCTATAAACCAGGAAGTTTATAGAGAAGCTAGTCTTTGTATGAACCTACAAGGTGGTATAGCTTTGAAAAGAATTGGGTAAAAATAGCAAAGAAAAAATATAAGAAGAAAAATATTGAGGCAAATTTGCCCTATGGGATGTTAAAATGTACAATAAAGCTACAATAAAAGCATTGTCGAAAAGATGTAAGAATTAGCACGTGGATCAAAGAAACAAACTTGTCTAAACCTGTATATAAAATTGATAGCACAAATCAAGGGAATAAGCAGCTCATTTTTTTTTTTAAAGGTGTGGGACAAACAGCTTAACTATGTAGCATATGACAAAGTTAAATTCTCACACCAAAAAAATTCTATCTACATTAAGAGCCAATTGTAAAAAATAACACCAGAAAAAATGAAATATAAATTAAATATTGTAGTAGTATTAGTGACACCCTTACACCCCACTGATAGTAGTTTAAATTGGATCAACTTTCCAGAAAGCAACTTAACTTTATATCAGAAGCCTTAAAAATGTCAGGACCCTTTGACCCAATCTGACTTCTAGGAGTCTAGCTTAATGAACTAATCAGAGATGGCACAAGGATGGCTTAAGGACGCTCATCACAGTGCAATGCGCACGCAATGGTGAAAAAGCAACAGAAGAACAGATAAATAATCATGCAGAGGAGCATTATGAAACATCATTTTTTGGAGAATATTTGTGATATGGTAAAATCACATGGTAAAGGGACGAAAACACATGATTAGACATTTTTATAGTTGGAGCTTTTGAAAAAGAAATACACATGTATAAGCAAATATTTTCTTAAAATCCTGAAAAGAAATAAAACATTTTACAATGATTATCTCTGGGGGCTATATTTGGGAAATCTGTTTTCTTTGTGCTTTATACGTTTTCAAGTTTCCTATAATGAGCATATTATAATGCTAAAAGCCATCAATGCATATTATTTTAAAATGAATAAAAAAAAGGTCAAGCTTCAGATCTCCAATCAAAGGAATATGGAGAGAGCTTAAAAAAATAACAAGAGTATAGAGAGGAAGAATGGACACATCACTGCTTCTTCAGCAAAGAGAACTTAGCAACTGAGCAAAGTAAATGTGCAGAGGTCATTTGTATGAGCAACGAGACATTTTAGTCTACCTTCTGGTCCTTAGATAGCATAAAATTCTCTAAATCCTTTTATTCCAAAAAGGAAGCAATTAGACCTACCCAGTCTGCTCAGGCAGTCTTAAATCCTGAATTTATAGTTTGGAAATCCAGACTGTCTACAACTCACTATGTTTATACCGAATTGAAATAAATGTACCTACTAAAAGGACTGATCACTTGTCATCATTCAAGACATCATTTAAATCTCCTCCCCTTTTAACAAGGTTGGTACCTGGCTTGAACTAGGCCCACGTGTGGTCCTTCTGTTCCAATTCCCAACATTAGAGCCACTTTCCCAACAAAATTCTTCTGTAGATTAAATCGGCGCTGCCCAATATTAAAACTTCCATCGATCAGAAACGCAATGTCTGCTTTGCAGTCTGTGAGAACACCCAAAACAAGTCCTTTCGTTAGCAGTTTCAAGAGGAGGGAGGGAGCAAGAGAGAGTGTTCTTCTCCCAAACAGATATCTGGACTCTTACCTTTATTGCCAGCTTTCTTCTCAGGTGTTTTCTTTAGTCGTTTACCTGAAACAAAGGAAGCACCTGGCATTAGCAAAAGGAAGACAGCTCCACAGCAAGGAGCCCACGTGGGGAAAAGCTCACAAGGAGTGTCATTCTTGAAAACACTTCATTCTGGACTGGGAAGTAAGGCCCCAACAAACAAGTCAGGGCTGCAGCAGGCCTGCATATAGATGTGCCTCCAATCCACCACTTTGACATCCCAAACTCACAGTTGAGGCAGGACTGGGAACTCAGTTAGACTCTAACCTTCTTAATGTCCTTGATTTTAAAATTGCCACCGTCTTAGAAAAGGAGATCCCTGGCTAGTTCTTAAAATGTACACACACTAATTCCTTTTATTCCTATGACAAACAGAACTAGGGAATTTATGGTACTTGTACTTTGACCAGTTTCTAGGTGTGGTTTATCAAATCAGGGAGAATTGGCAGGACTTCAAGAGAATGTTTTGTAGCAGAGTTTATAATTGAAAAAGACGTTTATAAAGAAGACGACGAAGGGATTTAAAATATAAAACAATGTTTTCCTATGTAATATACCAGTACACTTCAGATATTTGCTTTATGTTTCTTTAACATCAGTTTTTTTTTAAAGGAAAGTTCCTATCAAAGACACATTTATTTATAACTTCCAAATGCTGTGCCAGGCAACTAGGAGATAGGGTCCATATTTCAAACCTGTTGCTGGACGTGCTGTGGACACTGCTCGTCCTGTGGCTTCCTGGGTACCACTTCTGCCTTCTGTTAAAATAAAGAGAAGCTATTTTTTCCTCTTCCTTCTTTTCCATCAAAGCATAAGGAATCTAATTTAGAGTTCTTTAGGATGATAAATATATTAGAATGATGGCAATTGCAGGAGTAATTGCTGTGTGCTAGTTTCAAAGAACCAAAATGGATTCTATCTATTATATTTTAAAAGGATCACCAAAAAGGAATTCACATTTATTCACTAGTTATTTTGATTTAGTGTTGTTTGGTAAATGTCAGGGCATTCTGATTGCAAACAATTCAAGTTTCCACTGCCATCTTCTGACAGCAAGATTATTCTCCCCCCATTCACCCGTTAGGCTTGAGGGGGCCCCTGACTCTCCAGGTCCCCTGACTCTAACCTATAGTTGACCCCTTCAGTCTTGATCACAGGTTTTTCCATCAGAGTCAAAGAGGCTGGGCTGAGAAAAGCAGAAAACGTTTTGGGGGGGAGAGGTAATATTTACACAATAGTAAGCACAATGTAATTGTACCTACTTGTCACTGTGAAAGAAGCAGACCACCTGGACAGCGTCTGAGACTGGATGCCATTGGCAACGACTGAGGAATAGTTTTCTCGACCTGGTAGGCTATAGATTCGCACGGGTCCCCCTGAGTTGCCGATTACTCCTCTGCAACACAAGAACAGTTGCGATTCTATCCCCGCTTTTGCAGGGGCATCCGACTGCCAGAGTGCCACGTTGCACCTATTGCTCTGACTAATCAAGAAAATCGTTCAGCAGGGAACTATTTGAGGATGCTATCAGCCTTTTTAAAAACTCGCTTACACAGGTACGAAATCTGCTGGGGGAATGGTTTTTTGCTGTCAAACTTCTTAAGTGTTGCTAAACACACACTTGTAGCATCCTGTTCCCCACAGCCAGAGGCTCCGAGTTAGGAGCGCCAGTGCTCTTAGTTTTCTAAGATAAGTTAACTACATGTCCTTGGACTTCATTTTCTAAAAATGCATCCTACTGGCTATTCTTTTGCAGGACAGCAGAGTGGTGATGAACATGGGCTCTGGAGGCAGAGAATACGGGCTTTCAGTCCCAGCTCTGGCACTTGCTAACAATGGTGACCGCGGGCAAGATACTCGACAACTCTCTGAGCTGAGTTTCCTCAACTGTAAAACGGAGTCAAACTATATCTACCACACAGAAGTAGAGTAGCAGCACATAGTAAAAACGCAGTAATATACCACATGATTAGAAATGTTTCAGAATCACAGGAGTCTAGCTGTCAAGAAACAACGCAATTTGCCTTTAGTCGGAAAGCTTCCCTTGTATGTTTGGTGTATCTACCTTCTATGGCCAAAAGTGGCACCAAAAGAAAGAAAAGGTGCGAGTGTGTGGCATCCAGTTGGCTACAGAGGGGAAGGGAATCCTGGCACGTGCATCTCTCTCCCCGTGGCGTGTCTGGGCTTACCTGTGGATGGCGGCGCCACATACGCTCGATACAGAAGCATACACGATGTTCCCAAACACAGAGAATTCGTCAAGAGGGCAGTCCCCTGGGCAGAGGACATCTGCTTTCTCCTTCCTGATGTCCAGGCCTCTGGTAAAGCACGTGATAGCGATGGGAACTGAAGAGAAAGGAGGGAAGGTAATAACCATTCTTAGGACTTCTACAAGAGTGGTGCTGGTTGGGGGGGAGGGGCCTAGGATGAGATTGAAGCTTTACTTCCCTAATTTCTACACTCCTTAAGAATATTGACTTATGTACCAGTCCACACTATTCCAGATTTCAGCAAGCCAAAAATCACTTTTCCAATCTAGTCTTCAGCCACTATAAAGACTAACGGGAGAATTTTCTCAGTTCTTATCAGTTTGGAAATACACAATTGGAAATATATCAGAACTAGAAAATAACAGTCATTGGCCATTTATTCTAGAAATATAAAATTCTCAGTTCTGATGATGTGTGTACATAGTTGCCTGAGGCGAAGATATTAAATCTGGGCTGCACCTGTGAGGGACATTTTCATAGACACAGGCACAAACCTAAGTCATCTTTTGCTTCAGAGGACCATTTATATCAGTTTTCCTCCAAATGCAGTGCCTTAAAATTATACCTTAATTTAAGCAAACTAGTGAAAAGACACTTCACTTTACAGAGTGTCATTTAGCTCAATCATTCATTTTATAGTTGAAGAAATTAAAGGCCTGGGGTTACTTTACTCAAGGTCACCCAGCTCAAGGAGCATTCTGCAACTCCTGCAGGCCAGGAAACGGGGCAGTTAGTCTCTTCAGAATGGAGTATTTTCATCTGAATTGAACCTGATTACTTCTGCTCCAGATCTGTCCAGAAAGATATACCAGGCAGTGAATGCATTTTTAGAAAGCACTGTTAATACTCCAGCTTTACACAGTCAACCTGACTAATAAAGAATCGAAGTTTTTTACTACAAAAGATGTTAGGTAGAGACAAGCCCTTGGCAACATGTGACAAGATAACAAAATACATGTTAATTCATCAATTTACTGTGAATATTAAATTGAGAATGTTATTAAACACTACTTTCCAAAAACAGAAAGCTGTGGTTATCCAAACCTTTTTGAAACAGAGGTTAATAATAATAATAAGCAACTTTTTCCCAAGGCAGAGCAACAAGGATGCTCCCTCAGGAGCCTCTGCACACCCTGGACTGTACACGTGGATGGAAGGGAAGGCAGGATGCCAGGGACAATGCTGGTTCCTTAGTTCCCAAGCACTCTAGATTGCTGGGGAAGTGAAAATCCTTACCAAAACAGTAGCCTCCTACTTATGAGCCTCATCCCTATTATCAAACAGCCTTAATTCTTCCTCCCAATTTGGGTGGCTTCAGAGGCTCTGCCTTCAGCTGCCAACACTGAGAGAGTGTGTGTGTGTGAGTGAGTGTGTGTGTGTGTGTGTGTGTGTCTTGGGGGATGTGGGAGGGCTGAAGACAGCCCGGTGCAATACTTACCCTCATTTCTCCTTTCAAGGAAAAACAAAGGATAGATTTTTTGGAAAGGAGTTTGCCTTTTATATTGCAGAAAACACACCAAATCACACACCCAGACTCGGACTTCTACATGTGGAACAAACTCTTTTTAAACTCCGTCGAATATGAAACGCGCCCATAAATGCTGCTTCTTATAGGGGTCACTCCTAGAAACACAGCCAGGGGGCACACAGGTGGGACGACGACGCAAGCCTCTCGGGCAGCTCCGACAGTCTGAAGTCCGGCTGGGAGGCTTCCCCCGACCTCAAACGCAGGGAACTCCCGGGACCAGCGCGCCCCTCGGCGGGGCTCCACGAACACCGCCTGCCTCCGCCTGCCAGCGAGCTCCGGGGACGTGGGTGTGGATGGGGGATTCCTTCTCCGCGCCGTGGGAGGAATGTCCCCATCGGACCCCAGGGGCTCCTCGCGTGGGAGGTGGGGGTGAGCCGGAGCAGAAGCTGCAGGTATACAGGGGGCTGCGCCCCCCGGCCGAGGTCCAGGGGCTCGGTCTGAGCGCGCTGCCACCTGCTGGCCCTCAGCCCCTCCCGCCGCCTGCACCAAGCCCCGCTCCCCCGACCCGGGAACCCGCAGCTCACCGGCTCCCTCGCTGCCCGCGGGCTCCGGCAGCAGCAGACAGACACCTGCGGAAAGAGGACAGCGCGAGGGCTGGCTCCAGCGCCGCCCGGCTCGGCGCCGGGGGAGGGGGCGGTGAGGGGCAAGTACCCACCGAGGCAGAGGACAGGAATCCAGGCTGCAGACATGGTAGTCGGGGGGCGGCTCGCACCTGGGAGAGAGGGAGAATGCGCAGGAGGCTCCGGGGGCAGGGCGGCCCCAAGTCCCCTGCACCCCGCGCCCGCCCGCTCCTGAGATCCCGCACCCCTCGGGAACCCAGGGTGGGGGACGCCGAAGACGCCGCTGCCCCGGAGCTGGCGCCCCTCTCGGTCGGCAGGGGTCGTTCCGGCTGCAAATCGAGCCCAACCTAGAGTCGGCGTGCAACCCAGGACCGCGACGGAGGGTGCACTGTAAAGACAGACAGACAAGATGCGAGCGACAAAGGACGGCACGCACAGCCAGGCGTCAGGAACCCCAAGCCCGCGCTGGACGCCGGGGCCCCGCACCTGAGTGGGATCTGCCCGCCGCGCCCGAGTGCGGAGAGAGCGGACCGCGCGCAGCTATAAAGGCCTGGCCGTGCGCATGAGCACTGGGCGGGGGGCGCGCGGAGGGGGCCGGGCAGCAGTCGGCCAGCACCCCGCCCCCCGCCCCCCGCGGAGAGGCCCGCGGCGAGGCGCCTTCCCCCTGCAGCGCGGGGCTCCGGCCCCCGGGGAGGCGCGCGGGCCGGGGCGCGGCCCCCGTGTCGGAGGAGTCGGGACGAGCTGGGCGGTGGCGGGCGGCTGCCCCACGTGCGGAGACGGCGCCCGGCCGCCCCGCGGAGCCCGCCTCGCCCGGCGCGGAGGACCAGGGCCACGCGGCCTCGGGACCAGCTTCCCGACTTCGTGCTCCTCTCGGAACAGAGTCGCCGCTTCCAAAGTGAAGCCAGCCTGGGTTTGATCAACGCATGCCCTGGATTTGGTGGAGGCCCTGTGAATTGGTTGGTTATTCTTTGGACCTCGGGGAACCAGGCTTCCGACTCGGTTTCTGCGGGAGTCGGGTTTTCCCCAGCGGGTTCCGTTCACTGCAATGGGCTACGCGGGTGTAGCCCTCATCACATTTGCCTTTTTTTTCTTTTCTAGGTCAGGATTTATGCTTGATTGCCTTTCCAAATTCCCAGACCTGGTGTCTGGTGTGATCGCACAGGATCCCAGATTTGGTAATGTGGTCTCCCGCTCCTCTCTTTCTCTTTCTGATACCTTTTTACAGGGGTAAGTGGGAGAAGGAGCAGAATTCACAGGGTGTGTAAGTGACAGAAAGATGGTCTGCATGGCACCTGAGGAACCACCCCCAAACCCGGGAGAGGAGGCGCCATATCGTTTTTTCTAAGTTTTATTTAGTCCAAAGAATAAGATTTTATTTAGGTCCAAAGAATAATCAATAATTTGTGTGCCATAAAATCCATCCATTTTAAGTGTACAGTTCCACGATTTTTAGGGAGATTACAGAGTTGTGCAACCATCACTACAATCCAATCCAATCTTAGAGCGTTTCCATCACCCCCAAAAGAATCCCTTTGGCCCTTGGCAGTCAATCCTCTTTCCCAGCCTCAGCCCTGGGCAACACTAAACACTACTTCCTGTCTCTATAGGTTTGCCTTTTATGGACATTTCATGAAAATGGAATGATACGATATGTGGCTTCTGTTACTGAGCGTCATGTTTTTGAGGTTCATCCGTGTTGTAGCATGGGTGAGTACTTCCTTTTGTTGCTGAATAGGGTTCTCATACATTTTATATTAGGAAACAAATGTACCACCGCCTCCTGGAAGCCAAATATTGTAGTGGTCTTACAGCTGTCCCCTGCGTCTGGGATTCACTCCCTTTCCCACCTGAAGGTCTTCTGGAGAGAAAGAGACTAATTAAATCACATTTGCGGGCTGGGAGGTTCTCGATTCTTCTTTTCATGGCTGCTTTAAAGATTTAATCCCTTCCATGGTAGAGAGAGTTACTCTTTTCTTAGAAAACTGGTAATGTAGCCACTGCCCCTGATATTTTCCTTGGGAGAACTTTCAGGCCTTCAGGACAGTTCAAGCTTTTTATTATTGTTTATTGAGTGTCCTCAATCAGGGTTGGATAACCTCCTCCAGGTAGGCTGGGCAAATTGTCATGTCATGATATAATTAGGGAGAGTTCACATCTTGGAAAAAAGCTACCACCCCACAGATTAGCAGGCAGGTGCCCAAATGGCCAGGGGGTGCGTGCTGTTCAGAACTCCCCACGGGGCCAGCCCTCCCCGGATGTCATTTCACTGAGCCGTTTGGCAGAGTCAAAACTATGCAGCTATTTCCATGATTGACCCCGAGTCTGTGACTATTAAAAAATAAAGGAAATACCTCATTGAGTTTCACAGTTGTTTACCCAAAGATACATTTTAATTATTTTGTTTTGAAACTTGTAAGAGAAGTTTGTCTTTATTTTTCTATTTTGAAAGGCCAACCAAGGAGGGTGGGGGAGAGGGGATGAGATTTCTCCTTCTCTCTCAGTTTGTACCACGTGCTCACCATGAGTATATTGAGGGGAAAACATCTGAACTGAAGAGGTACTTGCTTCTGCTGTGGAAATATCTGAAGAGAGGGAAAGTCAAAGAAATCTGGGTACATTTGACTTAAGAAGACTAATTGTTAAAATTGTAGTTTTTTATTTAATTGGGTGACATTTCAGGGTATTGTACTCCTAGGATGTGTGGGTAGTTTATCCAGCTTTAATTAAGAGTATTTGATATTCAAAGTTGAGACTAACTCGCTGTAGAAAATGGATTCCTAACTGGGCTGCACAATGGAATCAGCTGGGGAACTTTGAAAAGGACTGGAGCCCGCGTCCCACCCCAGAGAATCTCGTGATACTGGGCTGGCCTGGGCCAGGGCGTTCACATTTTTAAAGCTTTCCAGGTGATTCTGATGTGCTGCCCAGGGGACATAATCTTTAGCTCAATGTTAGAGGTGAAGCTAATAATTCTAACTTTTCATTCTTCTTTCAATATCTTTTCATTGAAATTCCACCTTAAATGTGTGTACTGTGTACGTAAAACACGGAAGCCTCTTCTGGCCTGATGGTTGTTTAGAAACAATCCTTAACAGAAGGTTTGAAAACTCAGTTTCAAAAGTAATTTTCCCTGAGTGTGCTGTCTGGTCTCTTTCTGACTTTGTGCAGAACGGGCTGGCTTTGTTAGGGGAATGAGCTGTCTCCACAGCTGATACCCTAGTGGCATCTTCAGGCTTCAGGATGCTGCTGACAGCCCAAACAGGCTTTCTCAAGAACGGCGTGGTTATCTGATTGGATTTGGCTCCTGAACTACATAGCTGAACCCCTAGTTTATAGATCCTCTCTCTGTTCTGTTTTTATCCAAGTATAAATCTGGGGTTGCTCTGACATTTTTATGTATTTATTATTGGTCTTTTATGTTTTAAAGGACTGTCAGTCCTGTCCCACCCCCATACCATTTAAGCTCCCCTGCAAACTGTTACTTAGCTAATGCAGTACATAGTCGCTTGGTTTTTCTTTCAGTTACAGCGACCTTAAAGCGAGTTTGTCCCCTTTAGGAAGTGTACGTTTATCCTGCACTGTCCCGTCAGTTTCGACAACTGGTCATAGAGCATCCTTAGTTTGGAAGCTCCTGTCGCCCGTGTTGTTTAACCCACGTTGATAGTTATTCTCCATCTAGTTTTCCTGATCCTTTTCCATTGATCACATCTAATGAAGGCAAGTATGTACACCTAGCCTCTCAGTTTTGATGATTTCTAACAACAGAATAAATGTCCACAGCCTCTGAGGAGTGAAAATTAAACAGTTGGTTCAGAGATAGCCCTGTGACCACTGGCAATCACTTTCTTTTCCTGGGCCTCAGTTTCCTTTCCATGAAGTGAAGGGGATTAGACCAAATGATTGGGAGGACCTTCCACTGGCCATATTCTGTGACTGGGCAAATGCTCCCTGGGCATATATCAGCTTCAAGGGCTGTGCTGTTTTCTGGGGTTTGGAAGGCCTCAGGAAACACTGGCTGTGCCAGCTGGCTCCTAGCTGTCCCAGGACCCATTCCTTCTTATGCAAAGTCTCTTTCTATTCACCTCTCACTGCTAAGCTATAGCTGGGATCATGTTTGCCCCTTATTTAGCAAGAAGTAATGGCGGTCACATTGCCACTAGAATGCCACTGGGAATTCCCTCATAAGCAAAGAAAACTGACGGAGAACATAAATTAGTTCTACAAGGCCCAGCACACATCCCATGTAAGCTCCTCCAGATCAAGGACCTTTCTCTCTTTGCTCATTGCTGTACCCCAGTCCCTAGTGAAGTGTCTAGCACATAGTGGGTACTCAAGAAATATTTGTTGAACGAATGACTCAATCCCATTCTGTCTTGTCATTTGTTACCTTGTATTGATTTTTAAAACCTTTTTATTTTGGAACAGTTTTAGGTTTACAGAAAAATTGATAAAATAGTACAGCGAGTTCTCATATGCCCCACACCCAGTTTCCTTAATATTATTATACACCTTTATTATTTTTTATAATAATAAGATATTAACATCTTACATTAGTATGATACAGTTGTCATAATTGATGGACCAATACTGATACGTTATTAAGTAAAGTCCATACTTTATCCAGATTTCCTAATGTTCTCTTTCTGTTCCAGGATCCCATCCAGGGTGCCACATTACATTTAGTCAGCATGTCTTCTTAGACTCCTCTTGGCTGTGACACTTTCTCAGATTGTCCTTATTTTGATGACCATGACAGTTTTGAAGAGCACTGGTCACGTATTTTATACAATGTCCATCAGTTGGGATGTGTCTGATGTTCTTCTCATCATTAGACTGGGGTCATGGGTTTTGGGGAGGAGGACCACAGAGGTGAAGTCACCTTCTCATCTCATCATATCGAGAGTACATATTATCAACATGACCTGTCACTG